TTCGTGTCTGGCCAAGATGACGTTGCTGAGGCGCTCATTGGAGCTCTTCGTGACATCTGGACCACAACAGAACCACAAGAGGTCACAGAGAATCCCATCAAGTTTTTGGGCATGGAGGTTGCGAAAGTTTGGTCGAATGAGAATCAGCGATATGACTGGTTCGTCACACAGGAGTCATATGTGAAAGATCTCCTGGAGCGATATGACCAGGAGAAAGATGAGAAGAAACAGAAGATCAGAAAGGTTCCGATCTCAAGAGATTTGGCGGCGATGGAGGAGGATCCAAAACCACCTTCACTTCAGAAGGTACGTCAGTGCCAGAAGGAAGTGGGGGAGCTATTGTGGCTGGTCACCAGAACGCGACCAGACCTCATGTTCAGCATCGCTCGAATGGGCGCCAACGTCACCAAGGCCACTGCTGCGGTTTTGGAAGCAGCAGCTCAGACCAGAGATTATCTACGAGGAACAGTTTCTCATGGTTTGAGGTTTGGAGAAGAAAAAGAGAAGGAGGTAGCCATTCAGGTTTGGTCTGATGCGTCGTTTGCGCCAGAGGGTGAAGAATCTCACGGATGTTTCACTGTGATGGTGAACCAAAGTGTCCTCTTCTGGCGTTCTGGAAGGCAACCTTCCATTACGCTTTCCACTGCAGAGGCTGAGCTGAATGAGCTGATCGAGGGGATGAACGCTGGTGAAGCAGTTTCAGTGATTCTCCAGGAGCTTCTGGATGAAGTCAAAAGAATTGCCTGGTCGGACAGTCAGTCTGCCATTGCGATCCTAACGAGCGAGTCTGGAAGCTGGAGAACGCGTCACCTGCGAATGAGAGCTGCTTACGCCAAACAAGCAGTTTTCACAGGAGATTGGCAGGTCAGCCACTCACCGGGTGAAGATTTGAACGCTGACATCGGAACGAAAGCTTTGACTTCAGTGAGGCTTGAGAAACTGAAGTCCTTGCTGGGCATGGCCTCAAAGCCCAGCATCTCAGAGGAAGCAGGCCAAGAAGGTCCAACAGAAGAAACAAGCGAGAGCAGAAAAGATGGAGCTGAGATCAAGGTTGCACAGGCAGCCCTTGCAGTGAAACTGTTGACGATGGCTGCCATGATCTCAGTTGGAAAGTCACAAGAGGATGAAGAAGAAGAAACAGAATCAATCAAGGAGTTCAACATGATGATGGTGGCATTTGCGATTTTGATCGTGCTGCTCACCTTACTGGTTCAAGCTGCGTGGAAGGTAGGAGGAGGTGTCTATGAACGGAGGACCAAGGGGCTCTCTGACACGTCGAGCCGAAGTCTCCCTGCGCAGTCAGAATCAGGAGAAGGGCAGAGAGCCCAACGAGGAAGGAGGGGTTCTGGCGGTGAGGACGGGTCGAGCGGTTCAGGAGATCGCTTGGTCCAGCTCCCGCCAGAGATCCGGGACGAGGTGAGAGGGCCCGTCCAGCCGGATGAGTTGGGGTTGGTTGGAGGAGAACCAGTCCGCCTCTCTGGCCCCGAGGATGACGATTCCAGCTCAAGCTGGTCCTCGGAGGGATCAACCCCTGAAGGGCAGGATCTTGGAAGTAGAATTGAGGGAGCCCTTCAAGAAATAGCTCTAGAAGAAGCCGAACTATGGCGACAGATTCGCCTGACTCCGCTACCACCTGTTCTGATTGAGCAGGTTGAAGAAGATCCAAATGAGGGCTTGGGGTTCACCGTGCTGAGAACCCGATATGGACAGGTGTATCATAGCTCCTTGACGTGCCGTCATCTCCAAGGAGCTCGAGTGTCACTTCCACAAGAGTTCAAATGGTGTCAGACCTGCCGACGCGTAGCTCTGCAGACCAGAGGAAGACCCATTCCAGGATCTCCATTGTATCTGTCCATTTCTGGCGAAGCTGCTCACACTGATGAACGATGCCCCTGGATCAATGAAATGAAACAAACGCCTTTTTGCTTGACATGTCGTGAGAGAGAAGGGGTAGTTTGAGTCAAATTTGAATGGCCCTCACGAGCCATCAATGGGGGAGTGCTGATCCTTCATTTGATTTTTCACTACATGTCACCATAAACATGTGACATCTCAAATTCAATCCTGGCTGTATTCACAGCTGCCCTTTTTACAGCTCAAACCGCAACTTGGCAGAAGAAAGGAGGTGTGGGGACGAGCGACTTGGTGGTGCACAAATCGAGAAGTGTAACATCATAAGGGCTGGAATCCTCATACCTACATCCATACTGGAGTAAAATTAAATGCAAGAAACCATTCAAAACGATTTTAGGTCATTTTACATCATCTATACTATACCCAAAACTGAAAACAAACATGTTTATCATTAGGTTCACCGTGAATTACCATCTAATTCCCAATGGATCCACCCGTTCATTGTGTTGTTCGTCTTTAACCAGTTAACCTTTCTCAGGTATACCCATGACGGATCCTAACGGTGCTGCTATAATAATGGTGTGCCATGGATCCCATCAATATACCCCAGTCAGACGTTAGCATTTTTCTACCAGCACCAGCCGGATCCGTCATGGGATATATATATATATTGATTATTAACCATATAATGACCATATATTAACCATATATTAACCATATATTAACCATATGATTCAACCATATATACATCATATTTCACCAACCTGATTAATGTATTAAATTCTGTATCATTTGAGACATTCCCAAACGGCTTTGAACATCGAAGTGGGAGGACCTGATCAAAATGCTTCAAAGGGACGGCGACTTTACACCCGATCATAGCCCCCTTATACTCGGCTGGATCCATAGGGAAAAGATAGGAACAGTATATATATATATATATACCCTCTGGTAAACTAACATAGCTATGGAAAATCAGCATTTTTAATGGGTAAATCCACTATTTCTATGGCCATTTCCAATAGCTATGTTAGATTACCAGAGGGTATACAAGTGGGTTTATCGATGTTTTCTCGATCATCACCATGCCCTACTTGGAGAGGTTTGAAGCTGATAACCTTTTCCCACGAGTTCGAGTTCGATTTTTTCGGATTCTCCGCAAGTGGTGCCGCAAGAACCCGATTTTGGGAGTCAGAACTGGGAAACACACCATGTTCGGACCAGACCTGTTTTTGTTTTGAACAAATGGGTGTGTCTCAACATGTGGTATCCCACATTAACCCATAATTCATAAGGCCTATTGAAATGGAGAAGAAATGATGGTGTTTACATGTGTTTACTACCACTGGATCTTGGGAAAAAAAAACTACACCATGTTTTAACACAAAGCCACCATTTTCCCTGGAAAAAAAAGAAAAACATCCGTTACGAAGCTCGCGTCGAGGCGCCAAGTCGCCAAGTCGCAGTGCGTCGTTCCGATCAGTTCCCGGATGATATGGGGGAGAGGATTCCCAGTTGATCAGTGCAGACTACAGAATTGTCAGCTGGGCATGGAAGATCGGGAAGATCAACCCTTTTGGAATACAACCAAAAGAAATCCCTTACCAGTGGTATATATATATATATACAGTAAATGAATCTTTTCTAGCAAACCATTCCTGGTTGGTGGTTTTTCGCCTACCCCTCTGAAAAATGATGGAGTGAGTAACAGTTGGGATGATGACATTCTATTCCCAATATGATGGGGAAAATAAAAAATGTTCCAAACCACCAACCAGATTCCCATGGATCCAAGTGGTATATATGAATATCTTCTGACAAAGTCTTGGGTACGACAAGAATCATCTGATCATCTCAGCATATATTTGGATCCATAGGGACCAGCATATTGACCTAGCCAACATTACCCAAGCAAGGTTTACCATCTGGTTATTTAACAGTTCGCCATGGAAAATCACCTGTTTTAATAGGTAAACCATCTATTTCGATTAGGGCCATCTATACCATGGCTAGCCCTGTTAGTCATAACCAGAGGGTACCCAAAGCCTTCTTCATCCTGTTCTTGGTGTCCTTCTTGGCACGTCGTCCTAGCGACTTCCAGGAAGTCTCCCCCAGCTGGTGATTGCACTGAGATCTTTGTGACAGGTTCTGGTGATAAAAAAAAAAAAACCTAACCCATGACGGATCCATGGTGCTGCTATAGATGGTAACATTTACCATCAATATACCCCAAATGTTAGCATGTATACCGTACATGGATCCTCTGGGTAAAAGATCCAACATCCCAAATCTGTTTGATGTGACCCTGGAACTTTGATGCTGTGACCAGCCATTTTTGTTCGCTGTTTCCGACAGCAATGGTACTGGTACTTACCAAATGTCATTACTTCAGTCTTAAGGCTTGGGAAGTAAGGAATGTAACACGTGACTGAAACATTACAGAGGACAAATACCGTCTATTCATGTCCATTCACAAGTTCGAGCTGTGTTCAAAGCTGGGTCCATGTTCAACACCTCAGGGCTGCTTGAAATTTGTGTCGTCTCTCTGACCTTCAGGATCAGTTCTTTGGAGTTGCTCAAAATGACCGGACAAACAAATATATACATATATACATATATACATATATATATTATATATATATATGGTCACAATAGATTCCTCCAAATGGTGGACAACCCAAGTATAAAATGAAGCGAATCTTATGGGAATCCAAGTATGCTAAGGCAACTGAGCCCCCCATTCCAGTGGTTGGATTTGTTTTTTTTGTGTGTTCAAGATGAAACTGATGAAACCACCAATTACAGTATTGCCACACACATCCAATTACGAATTGGTTATCATAAAACTTATCTCTGGTAAATGATTAAATGTATCAGTCATTCGTCATGGTTTATTAGAGTAGTGGCACCACGCCCCCGAGTTTGAAGTTTGTCAATCTGTAATCCATCTCACCTATAGACATATCCACCATACTCTAAACCCAACACTTGGCCTGAGTATACACCAAGTTAGAAACCTATCTACTAAACTAGGCCAAGTCACAAATCACCATTGTCACATATCACGAAAAAAATCACGGAAACACATGAAAAAATGTATGACTTGTCGGGAGTGATCAGCATTGGACAATTTGTCATCTCTGGTGTCATGAACCCATGGCCTTGAAGAACTTCCACCATTGACTTCGATGATAAAATCGCGAACAACTTCCCTCCAGGCCTGGGCCTTTCTTCTCACCTCCCACACCGACCTAACTTTGGACGCAGGGGTGAGCCACACATTTGAACTCCAAAGCTCGGTGGATTTAGAATATTTAAACATCAGACAGGGGTGGATTCAACGTTACAATAGATATACCCTCTGGTAATTTAACATAGCTATGAAAAATCACCATGTTTAATGGGAAAATCCACTATAAATGGCAATGTTCAATAGCTATGTTGGTTTACCAGAGGGTATATCTAGGCTTTAAATAATCTTCAAATGGGTCATTTTCCATGTCTCTATGTGGAATTGCCAGAGGCTTAGACTCTGGCAAAACTCAATGAGATGGGGCTTCCATCTGCAGCAACGGAGCAAAATCCCCTAAAAAAAGCGGTGGCCCTCTGGTAATTTAACATAGCGATTGAACATGTCCCATGTAATTCGATGATTTACCTAGTAAACATGGTCAATCTTTAGTAGTTCACACCATTATTTTGCTGGTTGGCTGGTGTTGTTCCATGTTTTTCACAATTGACAAACTACAGGATTAAAGTACCTACAATGTGGGGCCCTCTAGATAAGTTTATATCTCCAATAACTATGGTTTATTGTACTTATAACTATAGTATTCATGGGGTTATAAACCAACTAACATCACTGGGGGGGCCCAACATTGTATCCATTAGCTTGGGGATGGTGATTTCATGTGATTTCCTAGTTGGCAAGCTGTTTTTCATCGAGGGATCCAGGTTTCAAAAACCTGTCTCTTTCCGACATCGTCCGGACCGGATCAGTCGAAAAGATCGGAACATGCAGGATGGGGACCCCAAGATAGCTAAGTTGGTTTATGGGCTTAACACGGCTTAACTATGGTATATGGTAGATATAACATGATATAACTATAGTTAATTGATGTCAATATAAGTTTATAAACCAACTTATAACTGGTGGGCACCATCCTGTGGGCTATGCGATTTTAAACACCGCGTTAAACTTCACCGAAAAACCCGGCTTTTTTAGGCGACATCCGGGTGCCCCATGGGGCCCCGACGCGCTTCAAGCGGTACTTCGGCTCAAACTTCTTCATCTTCTCCAGGTTCTCATAGATGAGACCTCAGATCATGGTCAATCTGATTGTCTACCAAAAGTTATAAGTCATCTTTCGCTGGTTGGCTGGGGATTTTCCATCCAAAGCAAAAAAAAATTGATTTTAAACTACCGTAAACTACCTATGCAGTTGGGAATGAGATGTTGCAAGCGGCTTTCGCTTGCAACTTGGGAGAAGTCTATACCCAATCCACCCAAGAATGCCTGGCAAGACGATCCGTTAGGTGCTGGCTGAGCCATCTAAGGCTCCAAGGAATATGGGAAAAACTACTATGACTAACCACAGCCATAACCCAAGAATGGGAGAACCCAAAGAAAATGGGATACCCTACTTAAAAGTGGTACATAAAAGTGGTACTTTTTTTTAACTCTGGTAAAAAAATGTCTAGGTCCTAAGGTTGTAGTGGCATGACTGCCCCAGGTTCATGGTTTCCACACGCACATAGACATCACATCAAGTCGGGGATTCAACCAGAGGTGCCAAAACCAGAGCTGCGACCACCACCGAAGGCGGTCTTGAAGGAGAAGAGCTGAATGCAATTCACATCCTGAACCTTGTACCTGGAGAAATGCCATGGAGATTTGCATGGAGAAAGATGGCAGTGTGTCAAAACCTTGTACCCCTGGTGAACATCAAAATAGCTGGTAAATGGATGTTCATCCCCCTAAAAATGGTATTAATAGGTATTGATTCATACCCAGATTGGAAAATCACGGATTCCCATATTCAGATGATTTGATAACCTGCTCCATGATATCATGTTCTGGCAGAAGGAATCAGTCGATTCAGTCCCACTCTCCCATTATAAAAAAAATCTATGATGAGAGAATCATGGAGAATAACCATAATACTCCCATTATCCCAAGAAAGAGGAAAGTCCCACTATCCCATTATAAAAATGGTTTCTTGGACCCATCATTTGATGAGTCAAGAGTCAATAGGATACACCGGTTACCACAAAACCTCCATCCCATCCCCGGCACATGCTTCGCAGCTTTTCGGCCAAATCTTTCTTGGAGACCTCGGAAAGCCCAGGGCCATTTTGTGGCAGTTCGCTGTCATGGGAATTAGAATATCCTCTGGTAAACATACAAAAAACTGTGGAAAATCACCATTTTCAATGAGTAAATTCACTATTTCGACTAGGCCATTTTCAATAGCTATTTTGACATAACCAGAGGGTAAGGGTTATAACATCTGACATAAGTTGGGATACCTACTATTCATTTGCGGTGGTGGCTCATAACATCTTATAACTCAGTTAATCCAGTTGTAACTAGACAAAAATCATCAAACATCCTTTGGTTGGTGGTTGAGCCACCCCTCTGAAAAATATGAGTTCGTCAGTTGGAATGATGACATTCCCAATATATGGAAAAATAAAAATGTTCCAAACCACCAACCAGCAATTATATATGCATCTTGGCCCAAAATGGTGCAGTCCGATCGCAAGATCCAAAGATATCCAAAGTTTAGAGCCGTGGTAGGTCAGTTTTGTCCATGCAATTACTAGCCTTGTTTTACTAGGCGAAGATCATGGCTAGAAAAGAAACAGCTACAAATGGCAGAACACAATGCTATATACTATAGGCAACTTACACTTGCGGTTGCCCAAAAACGACTCCTGTATGGGAAAGAACCGAAATCAAAAATAATCTGACTTTACAAGTATGTAATTTCCGCCCTTCGCCTTGCAATTTTGGGGCATATCCATATCTGGGCAAACCTAGGTGGTGCCCCCTATTGTGATGTGTTGCTTTGTCCGGATGACCTACACATCTGCCATGAACCCTAGTTGTATATTGCTTGGGATGAGTCGAAATTGAAGACCCAGCAAAACCACAGATGTTAATCTATTCTTAGTATTAACTAATATATTCACGACATGTGGTTAAAACAATGTCATGAACCACCCATGACTGGGAATGCTTTATAGTATACCTATTTATGGTGATTTGGGGCATGGTGTATTCTTGTTTTCACCACATTAAATCTAATGATTTGGTGATTTGGGTGTCCAATTTTGACCCATACCATGATTTTTCTTTGCACCAACCTTGGCGGGCTAACCTCCCTAGCTTCGTTCGCGTTCGCGAATTTTGACCTCCCTACCGAGGCGCGTTGGCCATGCCCGGATGGATCACGTCCAAGACGAACTGCTTGCGGCCGAGCAAAGGATTGTTCAGAAACCTGGGTCCCCCTGGATGATCCTGAAGGATGTATCAGGCCGAATTAATTCAGGATGTCATCTGGTACCAATATGTATATATATATAAAAATATATTATATATTGTAATATATTGTAATATATTATATATTGTAATATATATATATATATTGTAATATTATAATATATATATATTGTAATATTATAATATATAAATATATATTGTAATATTATAATATATATATATATCAATACATTATACAAAATGCACTGCACATAATGCATTATTCTAGATCATTCGAATGTACCGAATGTACCTAATACCGATCTGAACTATCACGTGTATGACTGTATGACAAACAAGAAATTAAATTGGCTGCTTCAAGACAAGCGCGTATATTGCTTACGAAGTGGTTGGCACACTGAGATATAAGGGTGCGTCTGAAACAACAAAAATGGCAGCTTTGCTACTGAATATGATGATGTATCGTGGATTAAGTAAACTCTTGCCCTGTACAGCAGCACATACCACGTCCAGTTACATCAGCCCCGCTGACCACAAAGGGAAAAACATGTGATCAGAAGGGTGATCATTCTGTTGATGTTTCATCATATCCCATTATAGTCACATTAAATGTATAGCGTTATCAACCTATATAGTTACGTTATATGTTCTTGTTGGGGGAATTGTAAAGCTCGAACAAGTTGATGTTTTACTAACAATCTCAATCTCAATGCCTTGCTGATGCTAAAAACCCAGGTCTTCAGAATCGGTATGGCTCATAGGACTCAAATCTCATGGTTCTCCAGTATAGTCTAGCTATGTCTAGTTACAATATGTGTGGGTTTGTCTGAAAATAGCCTACCCTACAATCCAATGGTTTATGAACATCTCTCCATTAAAATATATATTAAAATAGACATAAAATCGGGGTATCACCATTTTCTACCATTTTCAAACAACCCCATGTTAATTACATTGGGGATTGGGGTCTCTCAAGAATTTCTGGGCCCATTTCGTGTCCCAGTGGCTTCCGCGTCCGGACCGTGAACTCCGACATCTTCGATCGACGTGACGACGGACGTGCGCGAGACGACCCACGTGGCGTTGGCGGGCGTTTTTCGGTGTGCGTTCCCCTTTGGAGCCGACAAGTTGCCAGAGGTGGGATAGAAGGCCTCTAATCAAACATGGGAAAATAATGGAAAATATATGGCCCGTTTATTCTATAGATGATTTGCCTAGATGATGATTCTCCATAGCCATCTTAGTTTACTGGTGTAATTCCCTGTGCGATCCATGAATCAGCAACATTTAATGAGCTGTGTATTGAAACAAATGGGTTTCTACTTCCCCCATCGCTTCCAGCAAATCACATCCTATATATATAAGATATTATAAGATATCTTATCACCTTTGTTCGCGCTCAAAATCGTTCATAGGAAGGGGCCCAAAAAACAACAGGTACTGAGGTACTGCAAGTTGCCTCTCTTAGCTCGGCAAGATGTTGTATGTATGGCAGTTTAATATGCAACTGGATGGATGCAACTAACACCAATGCCAACTCAGCAATTCAACAATCCATGTTTCCTTGACAGAAATCATACCCAGTTTTAGATGTTTACCCTACATTTTTCACTCACATAGATGTGGAAAACCTGTGGCTTCCCCAAGAAAATTCTCTACAAATGGTTGATGTTCATTGATTTTCTGCATCTATGCTAGTTGACCCTCGGGTCACCACGAGCCAGCTCCTGCTTCTTCAATTTTCGCTCCCAATGTGCTGCCAGCCACGCCTTCCGGTTCCCGGCGGTTCCCGGAGACCCGCGGCCCTTTTCCAAAAATCATGGGATGATTTGTGGTGAACCAACAGAAAGTGAAGCAACAGAAAGGTAATTTGAACAGCAAAAACGGAGATTACCATGGTGATGGTAGACATAACAGACTTTGCGATGACATGGGTATAACTGGGAAAAACGTGGAGATGACTCATTAATACTCATTATAATTAGACTCCGAACCGAGAAACGCCATAGGGGAACATTTCAAAATGTGGTTGAACATAAAATGTACTTGAAACACGTTGAAACTGGCGAGTACCTGGCACCTGGGGTGACAATCCATGCTATCTCAGTATTAGGCAGAATCCAGGCCGAATAGCAGAGCAGTCAGGGTTGCAGTTGGGACCGAGCAAAAATATAAACCGAGCTATTGTCTAGAGTCGTGAGAATTGGATGATTTTTTATAAGTCCCCAGTAGTACTGCAACTAGACTAGAACTGTGAGAACCACTTGCCCTGCTATCTAGGGTTGAAGCCTTTAGTCAGTTTGTGGAACTGTCCGCCCTTAGAAAGTGGCTTATATGTTTTATATGTTTGTTTCACCACAGGAAGCCTACATTTTTTAATGAGCTGCTGCAAACATCTGCAAACCAAGTCGCAAACCATTCCCTATTTTGGACAATGTTAAATGATATAACATGACCAAAATGCCTGGTTACTAGGATAATTTATTGTCAATTACATGAGTTTCTATCACATGATTATCCCTGGCCACCCATTTGATAATACTGCAGCCACCCCACTGCACAGCAGGTTTGCCGCGTCTTTATTCCGTTGCAGGCGATTGGGTTTCGCTAATCTTTTGGATCCTTTCGCTAATCTTTTGGTTTTACCAATGGACCAACAATTCTTGTAATGTCTATTTATATCTAACATTCTTTAGCGATCCGGGGTGTATGATTTTGAGCTATTCGCACAACTTAAAAAAAGGGGACTTCAAATTGCAGGTCCAAAGTAACCCAGCAAAAGTTCATCTTCACTGTTCATCTTCATCAATTTCGAGGACCACTAGGCCATGATAACCTACCAGGCAATCGGGGCTACGGATGGGGCCCCCCAGTTATAAGTTGGTTTATAAAACATTATATAATCCCCATGAATACTATAGTTATATCTACCATAAACCAGAGAATTCAGCCACTTATAGATGGTTATAAACTAAGGCATCATTATAAACTAAGGCTTATTGGTAGCCATTATTCCCATTGTTAATACTATAGTTATATCTACCAACTTAGGCATAGCCCATGATTTTTCGAGACTTGGCGTAGCTCTGCCGGAGCTCATTGGGGATCAACGGGACCGCTTTTCGCGCCCGGCGAACGTCATCGTCATCCTGAGGCTTCGCGGATCGTTGGGAAAAACATAAGCCATTTGAATGGGGATGTATAGCCAACCACAGTGAGGAAATGCCATATACAACCAAGAATATCATGTTGCGTCTCACTGAAAACGGGGGATATGACTCAAAAATTGTTGTTCGAATTCGGAAATGATGATAAACATTGCCAAACCATCAATTCTTTGAGTACTCTGTGTTCAAACAAAGCCACATATGAAGGCCTACAAGGTGGCGCCCCGTTCGTTGGCTCAGTTGGTTTATAACTAAGAGAACTCGAGTTTATGGTACATATATATATTGTATACATATGTATGTAGATATATCTCTGTAGTTAATGAGGATTATAAACCAACTATAACCAACTTATATCTACGGGGCACCACACTGTGCCATATGCAAGGCCTATTGGTTGGAATTATTGTGGGCCACTAAGTATTGGAAGGGAGTATAAGCATATCATGGTTACACGGCTGGTACACACTTGATTTGGGTCTGTCTGAAAATGTGGCATATCCATGCATAGACTCCTCCAAAGAGCCATTTCAGTAGTGATTAATCAATGGAATCTGGGGTACCCTATTTTCACACAAACCCATTTTGTCCATGGTCCATGATTATGTAATGATGTAGCCACACCTCCCATCCATGTGCTTTCCATTGATCCATTTGCATATTCGGTCCATGATCATCCTGTGGCAGGGTAGACACCCTAGGGATGGTGACAAGGGAAGGCTTGAATCTTCAAGCGGAATCGGGTGTCCTTCCATTTTCCTATCTATTAATTAGCAGCTTGTAGCAGGTTGTATTAGCGTATAAATGTGCGTAACCTAAGATCTGATATGTGATTAAATTGTTTAAGCATCATGTTGATTGCACTTCAATGAACCACTTCTCATTGCCTATAGTCAACAATCAGTCTGAGCTTATCTCAGGAAATCAACATTGCAGTTCAGCTATAAACTTCCGGAAACGCAAGCCTCCCCAAATGATGCCTATCCGAAGCATGTAGCTATTTCTTGGCATTCCCTTTTAACTTTTCTTTGAATGGAATCCCAACAAGCTCTACCGGAATGGTTTTTGTACCCTGGATATTCTGAAACCAACAGTGAACGCGAACAACGTTGCGAACATCTAGCAACAAAATATCCATTCTTGAGCTATATATATATAATTATATATATATGTTCGAGTACCAGAGGGTACCGTGTCAACATTTTTTCTTGCAAAGAAGTCACAGATTGTTAGTACCCAAGTGCCAGTGCCTGTTTGATACTTCCCCAACGACCATCATGAATGGCAATGGCCTTTGGTCGTTTCACGTTGCAATAAACCAGAATCATTGTTCCAATCCTTCATGGATGGAATCACCAAGTGTGTTGATTCGTTCCACATCTTAGTGCATACCCGTGCCATTTTGTGTTCACGTTTCAAACTGTTTCAAACCACCTTTCTTCGGGTTTGTAAACCTTTCTTCTGTCCAGACTTTGCGCGGCGAGGATCACTGGTGTGGTTGATGCGATCCTGGGGGGTCTGGATTTTTTCGACAATATCCAAACCTCGCGTAGAGTCGTGAGCGCCGGCAACGGTCATATCCAGTCATACTCAAGTGCCAAGTGCTAACGTATGTACCATTTTAAACAAAAGGTGAATCATCGTGTAGGCTCCGAATGAACCATGGATGTTTTTGGGGACGAACCATGGTTGATACCCTCTGGTAAACTATCAAAACTATGGAAAATCACCATTTTTAATGGGTAAATCCCCTATAATGTGGTATTTTCAATAGCTATGTTAAATTACCAGAGGATAAATCAACCAGAATGAACGGAATCTGTGTGCGTCGCCGCAGTGGTCTTACTGCTTGGTTTTCCGAGGCGGGAGGGACAGTCTGGAAAATTCTCATCGTGGGAATGGCGTCCTACAGGGTGAACACCCCGTTCATGTGGCAACATCATGGGGATATACATCAAGACATATCCAACTGCTGGGAGGTTTTGGGTGGGGATATCATGGGGATTAAACCAACAGTTCATAGTGATGAAAATTACTACTGGTGACTAACCTACCCTTCATGGAGAATGTGAGCCTGCCATGGCCACAACCACTTGGGGATGGTCTATGCCACCTGGTTGGATTTGTCACATGAAAAATAACCATAGTTCGAGATACCACACGGCCGATCGTGAAACACTATAGCTACAGTAAATAAATGGAGGTTTCTTAAAATAGGGGTACCCCCCAAATCATCCATTTTAGTAGGATTGTCCATGAAATACACCATCCAGCTATTGGGGTACCTCCATTTACGGAAACCGCCAAATATACCAAGTTAGCGAACGAATTGGGGCAGCGCCGGCAAACCCGAACAAAGGAGGAAGTGGATTGTTCTTGCTCTTGAAATGTGTTTGTTTCCAACGGTTAGCGCAAGAAAATCACATGGTTGCTGGAGTTTCATGGTTCATGGTTTTTTGATGTTGGCATGAAATGTCAATCTAAATCAACACAACATGAGAAACATGAGTTCATTGGTGTCAGGTCAAATCCTGTCCTTGCATTGTAGGGATAATAAAAAGCCTATGGTGGGGATCAATAAATCCCAAAGACAATAAACGATTAGATATATATATATACCATACTTACAATACAGGTACCTACAATAACTCATCTAATCTGATGTAAAAAGTCAGCAAGCGAGAGATAAATTTAGATTAGATGAGTCGAGTGCCAAAGCAATTCATCATCCGGACATGCAGATACCAGCTATACCTTAAATCTGGCCATCCGCGGGAAAAATGGACCTTAAAATCGAATTCTACAACAGAAGTACAGAAAACCATCAAATGGTACGGATCAAAACTTCAAAACCCTTTTGGCCCTACCATCTTTGCGGATTTGCAATATTTTGCATTGGAACAATTCAGCAGTTGATGTTTAGGATACTCAATGTTTCAACACATACTTTGAGGATCATCCCACTTAGTACGTGGTTAAAAACCCCAGTTAACAAGTCCCTGATTAGTGGAGTTGTCCCAACTATAACTGGGTCAAAATGTCAACTGCAGCAGCAACAAAAGCAACATCAATAGCAACAACGACAACCACAACCACAACAACAGCAACAAGAACAACAAGAACACCAAGAACACCAAGAACACCAAACACAACAAGAACAACAAAAACAACAAGAACAACAAAAACAACAAAAACAACCAACATCAGCAAACAAAACAACAACAACAACAACAACAACAACTGCAACAACTGCAACAACTGCAGCATCAACAGCAGCAGCAAGAACAACGATAACAACGGCAAAAACAGCAACAATGAACACAAAAACAACAAGAAGAGCAAAAACAACAAGAACACCAAGAACACCAAGAACAACAAGGAGAACAAGAACGAGAACGCTAACAAAAACAAAAGGAACAACGAGAACAGCAAAAAACAACATCAACAGGCATCGGCAACAACAACAACAGCAACATCAGCAGCAACAGCAACAACATCGATGACAGCGGCAACAACAACAGCAGCAACAACAACAGCAACAAGAACAACAAAAACAACAAAACAACAAGAACACCAAAACAAAAAAAAACACCAAAAACAATAACAAGAACAAAAACGAGAACAAAAACGAGAACAATAACACGAACAACAACAACAACAACAACAAGAACAACAACAACAACAACAACAACAACTACTACTACTACAACTACAACTACAACAACAACTACAACTACAACTACATGTACTACATTTACTACATTTACTACATTTACTACATTTACTACTACATTTACTACTACATTTACTACTACTACTACTACTACTACAACTAGCAAGCACGAGCACGAGCACGAGCACAAGCACAACCACAACGACAACAACCTGAAACACGTCCTCAGATGGTACCACTGGAGTCATTGGGACCCAGCGCGGCTTGGGGGGAAAATCGGATAAGTCTGGAAATGGAGGGTTAACCAGCATTGAAACTGCAATTAATTCGGAAAGTGATGATTCAGCAATAAATTTTGGGGTAGCATATGTTTAAACAAGCCCATGTGACTCCTATCCCCAACATAAAGAACCCTCATATATTTGAAATCATACTTTAGATTCTCAGCGAAGCTGTCCTGGGTTCAACCACTCCCACGCAGCTTGGAAGCATCAGCATCCGTTTTGTGTGCACGGTCATGTGTTACATCCGCAAAATCAATGCTTCAAATCCTCTTTTCATTTCAGCTGGATCCCTGTGATATCTCCTCATATCTGCTTTGTAAGCATCACCTGAACCAGGGAACCACTATCCACCATTGCGAGTGATACTTACCCCCCAAACGTCATGGTCATCCCACTTGCAACTTCTCCAAACCGACCGCCAAATATCACCCGAGTGGCTCCTTGAAAGCCCATAGGGACCGTTGATGTCTTCGTATTGCGTGGATTGCAAGATGCGCAGTTTTTGCACTTCAGTGATTTCGCCTTCGAAGAGAAAGTGGATGATTTTGTCCTCGC